AAAATGCCTGAAAATCCAGCTAAAAGAAACACAAAGAACTAGAGAGCAAAAGACATTAGGTGAGCTATCCAAGGTACTTTAAATGATTAGAAGATTGTTTTATTAAAGGAATTAGTAAAGAAAAAGGAATAAATATATCAAATGCCTTATCTATTAGAAGTGTTTACCAAATCATTTCTCTTCACCCAAATTCTGTGAGGTGTTATTTTGACGCTAGTAATAAAGCAGAGGATCGAATAAACACCGAATTACTAAAGAGGACAGAACAAAAGTAGGCAAAAATAAATTAATGCAAATGTCCACAATAGCAAAAGGGTACAATATCCACGCAGTTTAGTATTAAACAGCAAAGAGAACAAAATTACAATCATATATAGGAGCATAGAGGGCCAGAAAGACAAGACATGAAGCCATCTCAGGTACAATTCCTGGCATCCCATCTAGTCCTCTGGACCTGCCATAACTGATCCCTGAGTGCAGAGCCCGGAATAAGCCCTGAGTACTGCTGGGTGTGTCCCCTGCAAAAAATAAAAAAGAGCATAGAGTAATCTTGCAAAGCCAAGAAACCAGACATAAAAGTCCAACTAGGGGCTGGAGCAATAGCACAGTGGGTAGGGTGTTTGCAGGCATGTGGCCAACCTGGGTTCGATTCCTGGCATTACATATGCACCCTAAAGCACTGCCAGGAGTAACCCGAGCACTGCCAGATATGGCCCCAAAAGAAGAAGAAAAAAAAGAGTCCATACGAGAGGATTTTCTTTTTTGTTTGTGTGGTTTGTTTGGTTTGATTTGCGTGAGGAGACACCCAGCAGTACCTGGGGACTACCCTTTCCGGAATGATAGGGGTCACTCCTGCAAGAGCATGCAGTACGAGGGATCAAAGAGGCATCTATGAAATGCAAAGCATGATTCCCCTGTGCCATCTTCTGGACCCATCTTCTTTTTCAATTTTTTACAATGCTGGTGATGGAATTAGGGTTTTACCCCTGTGAGGAATGCACACAACTAGAGAGCCACACCTTTGGTCATTATGACTTCATCTATAGAAAATCTGAAACTAGGGCCGAAGAGACAGAACAGCACGAAAGGCACATGTCTTACACACAGTTGACCCAGGTTCAATCCCTGGCACCACATACAGTCCACCAAACCCTGCCAGGAGTGATCCCTGAGCATAGAATGAGGAATAAGCCATGAGCATCATTGACTGTGACCCCTCCCCCCCCACCAAACAGAAACAAATATCCAAACAATATCAAGGAGGCCACTCTCCACAGGCTTGGACAAGCCTCACCTATGAAGGAATCTGCAGAAAAACCCAGATATTTGGGACCTATGACTGAGATCTCCAAGCTCGCTCAGGACAGGACTGGGCCTCCTTCCCCCAGTTCCCCAGTTTTCCAGTAGATTAGCAGTCATACCCACAAACTGATCCCTGACCCCTGTGCCGTTTAATCTCATCAACGACCAGGAAGAGAGCAATACAGAATGTCCTGGAGCACTTGGCCGGATTTACAGTTGTGCGACCTCTTATACTCCAGCACACTGATATACCAAAAGTAGCACACATTTTTTGGGTTTAACATACATGCTTGTAATCTCTTATTCAAGGGCTTAAATGGCTCCAGAACGAAATACAACAATCTTCACACACTTTCCTCTTATGGTGGTGGGAAGGTGCATGGTGGTGGAATTGGAGTTTGAATATTATCTGTCATGAACTATTGTGAACAACTTTATAAAAATAAAATGTATTTCTTTTAAAATCAATGGATAAAGATAGTTCAAAGGGCTGGTGTATATACTATGCATATTGGTTTCAATCCCAGCACCACACAGTCCCCGCTGACCACAGCTGAGAGTGTAGTATCAAACCAAGAGTAGTCTCTGATGGCTGGGAAAATTGCAAATAATGGTGTTGGGAAGGTGTAATGGTGGGGGATTTGTGTTGTACTACTAAATGTAAATCATTGTGAACAACTTTATAAAAATAAAATAAAAAAAAGAATAGCCTCTGAGCACCACTGGGTGTGGTCCCCAACTCTCTCCCTCCCCCAACACACACACACACCACACACACACAAACACTTAGCCCATACAGAAAAATGAGAAGCTAGCATATGGGGATCAAGGATGGTGAGGAGAGGCCACTATAAGAACTGGGATGAGAAAGCACAGTTGGGCCTCTGAAGTATTGGTTACACAGACATATTGGTTTTGTGCTAAATAAGTTCTCAAAAGTAGTCGAACTCTGAATTCCAACCAAATTTTTAGTCATAACTGCCAACAGAAAAGATTAAACTTTATATCATTAATAAACATAATAAATTAAGGAATACTGGGCTTTACTTGAAGTAGTAAACTATCAGATTCAATATCCACAAAGCTTTTCAATAATATGAATTATTTTATAACTGTAGAAATATAGTTTGTTTTCTAACTGTAGAAATATAGTTTGTTAAACTCACATGCTTAAAGTTTAAGGTCTCTCTCTCTTTTTTTTTTTTTACTTAGGGTTTTTTATTGTCTTTTTGGGGAGAGGGAGGCACACCTGGCACTGCTCAGGGGTTACTCCTGTCTCTGCATTCAGGAATCACTCCTGGAAGGCTCAGGAGACCATATGAGACGCTAGGTATCAAACTCAGGTCAGCCATATGCAAGGCAAGTGCCTTACCTGCTATACTATTTCTCTGGTCCCCTGTTTTTGTTTTTTTGTTTTTTTAACTTTATTTAAACACTGTGGTTCACAACATTGTTCATAATACAGCTGTTTGAGGCATTCAATGTTCCAGCACCAATCCAACCACAAGTGTGACATTCCCTACATCACTGCCCCCAGTTTCCCATTCAACCTCCAATCCTGCACAAAATAAATTATTTTATATTGCTTGCTACAACAAAATGGTAAATGGAATTACCAAAAAGTATTTAAGGAAAAATTGTGAAAATTGTTGCATCTCACAATGCTGTAAAGTCACTGTCTGAGGACTTACTGAGCTGTTTGTTGCAAGCTGAACCTTGTTGTGTTATTTTCACTTATTGAGCTTAGTGGGCTTCCATGCTACTTTCCCCTCTAATGGTCTATACTTCTAACTGGGATGTCAGTATTGTGGAGATGTGGCGCAGAAAAGCAGTGCTCAGGACTTACTCCTGGCAATACACTAACGGATCACTTCTGGCGGGCCAGAGATCAAACCCAGGTCAGAAAAGGCAAGGGCTCTCTACCTGATGTACTACCCATTCAGCTTCTTTTAATTTTTTTTTTTTAAAGTGTGGTCAAGTAACACATTTTGCAATCATGGTCAAATATAAAGTTCCTGAGTCTTTAACTTTCTTAATACATGTCATTTTTCTCTCTTGAGAGAGAACCATAATCCAAATAATCCAATCTTCATTTTTTTATCCACTATAGACAACTTGCATTCCAACTACATTCCATATATCAATAAAGCCAAATCAACATCACAAACAACTAGCAGTAGCTTTGGCCAACTTACTGTTTGGTCTCTTACTCTGCTCCTCTGCTCTGGTCTGAAATACCAATACCAGCCAGCCTAACATCGGGCATCTAGACTAGAAAGCAGGTCAAATCATCACCTGGGCCTCTTCTCTCAGATTTGCACTCTCAAATGAAACACACTAATCTAGTGGTAATGAGATGAAAGTGTAAATTCAAGTTTTTAAAAACCCGTAACATATAGTCCCTGAGCAGAGCTGGGTGTGGCACTAAAACAAGAAAAAGGGGAAGAAAGGAGAAGAAATAGGGGAAGGAAGAGAGGGGAGGAGTACCTCCACAGATACTACTTCTATAAAGGTCTCATCAGGTTATCAGAATTGTACAAAATAATTAATATCTACTAAGCACAGGTCAGTGTCTGGCATACTTTATTGCCCAATAGCTAGTCTAAAGGAAAAAGGATGAAGAAGAGAGGTGTATCTTCAAGATTAGGAAAATAGCTTCAAAGTCTTGTGCTCTGACTCTTGAAACTATTCAGCGCAAAACCTGAATTACACTCCCAGCACTGTAATTACACCCCACCCCCACCCATTGTCTGGCCCTAGCACAATCAATCAGAGCAGTTAGGTCAGCAATACCAAGTTAACAGGAGTGTAACCCCCAAAATCCCAACAACTACCAGGAGGTCTCTATCCAAAACAAGTCTATTCCTTTACCTTAATTAGTATTACAAACAACCTGCACCCTTAAAATTAAATTTGACCTAGACTTAAAAATCCGTCTATTGGGGCTAGAGAGATAGTAAAGGGTTAAGGTGTTTGCATCTCACAAAGTACCTGGCACCATATATGTCCCCAAGCACACTAAGGGGTCACTCCTGAGCAAAACCAGAAAGAACCCCTGAGCACTTCCCAGTGTGTTCCCCCTCCTCCTCCGTCAAATGTATTAGCTTAATGTACAGGGCAAGAACACTAGCTTAAGTTACTGGCTTTGCTTTTTAAAATTATTTTCTTTCCTTTTTTCTCTTGTGCAAAGAATAGAGCCCAGAGTCTCACACATGCAGGGCAAATGCTCTACCACAAGCTGCAACTGGTCTCTGATTTTTCCCAGTGGGAGCCACACCCAGCATACTCAGAAAATTATCTGGCAATGCTGGGTATTGAAGTATGCATGCAATACAAGGGGAAATCTCACATGCTGGGCATGTGGCCTACCACTTGGTAGAGCCGGTCACTACAGGTTTTAATTTCATTTTAAAATGATGAACTGAGTCCTATAACAACTTCCTCCCATTCAGGAGAGTTTCCTTTCCTTTCCAATAACCTATTTCCAATAAAACCTGGAAATTAAAAAAAAATGAAAATAAAAGTTTCTGAACTTTTCTAAATAAAATTGACCCCAGGGCCTTATATATGCATGGTAAGTGCTACAGAAAAGAGTTATACACGAGCCTTCCTCACATAACTTTAAAATGAGAATAAGTTTTGCTATTCTTTAATAAACAAGGAACCAAGCGACATTTTTTAAAAGCAATGATGCTTACCGACTATACATAAACAGATTTCATTTCCCAACATTTTCCGTAATTCTTTCACCCAGTTTTTTACCTGTGTATACAAAAAAGAAATGTTAAAATCAATCTTGTTACAATGACTATCATTACAACATTCAACACTGTCAAAAAATTTACAATTTTGTTTAACAATTCCTATTTTAGTTATTAGTAAAACAATTTACTGTAAGATCATTTAAAATGGATTAAAATGCACATAAAAATCATACACGAATACATTTATATACAGAAGAAACTTTTATTACAAATTTTCATAAATCTTCCATAAATCTAAGCAAAACACTGTATCAGAAAATAAACATATTCAGGGGTTGGGATATAGCTCAGTGACAGAGCACATGCTTTAGCATGTATGAGAGTCTGAGTTGTAACCCCAGCACATGAACCCTAAGCCCATCCATGAACTGCCAGGGGCAGCCCCAGTTGTCACCCAGCAGCAAAATGTCTGACCTAGATTACAGTACCAAGCACCATGGGGGAGTGTCCAGCTCTGGAGTCTCATATGGTTTTCCAGGCCCACTAGGAATAATACCTGAGTACAGAGCCAGTAATAAGTTCTGAGCACCAAGTGGGGCCCCAGAAAACAAACATTATTGAATCAGATTGAAAGTGTAAAGGGCTGAGAACATGTTCTTCATACATAAGGCCCAGGTTCTGTCCAGCACTGTAGGATCCCTAAGGAGTCACCCCTGAACACTGAGCTAGGAGTAAGCCATTGAGTATCAAGAGTTAAGGCCCCCCCCAAAAAGAAAATTTTCAAAATCAGATTCCTCTCCAGAGGCTACATCCTATTTATTCCACATTGATTCAAAGGTGATAAATTCACTGCCAATACCTTTAAGTGGTAGTCTATTTCACCTTCTTTTGTATTATAACATTATAAGCATTGTAACTTACTTTACATAACAAACATTATAACTTACTTTAACCAAGAGAATGTGGCAAAAGTAATGCTAAGAAAATTCCAGAATTAATCCTTAAGAAAGCTTGGCTGGGTTAGGGTGCTTAGCGGGTTAGGGTGCATGCCTTGTATGTGGTCAACCCAGGCTCAATTCCTGGCATCCCAGACAGTCTCCTAAGCACATCCAGGAGTGATTCCTGAGTGCAAAGCCAGGAATAACCCCTGAACATAGTCGGATGTAGTAAAAAGAAAGAATAGAAACAAAGAAAAGAAAGGAAGAAAGCCTGGCAGCTACATCCTTGAGATCCAGCTGTCAAATAAAAAGTTTATGCTGAAATATAGAATAATGAGAGTGTGTGTTTAAAAAGTACTCAGAGATAGGAGGAAGTGAGGCCAGTGAAACTCCCAGTTCAAATGCAGCAGCTGTATGAGCAACTCTACAACCCCAAACTGAGCAGAGATGTTTGATCAACCCACAAAATCATTTAGAAATAATAAATCATTTTTAGTTACCAAATGTGAATGTGAATAAATGTAGCGAAAGATAATTTTTATTATCTTTAATTATTTAGCGGGGCTAGAGCAATAGCACAGCGGTAGGGCATTTGCCTTGCATGCAGCCAACATGGTTGAACCGAGTTCAATTCCTCCGCCCCTTTCGGGGAGCCTGGCAAGCTACCGAGCGAATCTCGCCCGCACGGCAAAGCCTGGCAAGCTCCCCGTGACGTATTCGATATGCCAAACTCAGTAACAAGTAGTCTCACGATGGAGATGTTACTGGGCCCGCTCGAGCAAATCAATGAACAACGGGAGGACCGTGACTGTGATTTAGCAAATAAAATATATTCTTGTATTACATTCTTATGCATTATTTTCAAGTGTTCCTTTTTAATTTTTTAGTTGAATCACAGTGAGATATACAGTTACAAAGTTGTTCCTAATTGGGTTTCAGTCATGTAATGTCACAACGCCCATCCTTTCACCAGTGTACATTTTCCACCACCAATGTCCAAAGTTTCCCTCCTGTCATGTTCCAACCTCCCACTTCCTGCCTCTATGGCAGGCACTTTTGCCATCCCTCTCTCTAACTGAAAGGTTATCATGCATATCCCTCTACCTGCTTCAATGTTCAGTTCTTGTCCATAGTGATCAGTTCTAACTATCCTTGTTGCAGTATCTCTATCCTAACTGCCCTCCAGCCCCTGCACACCTGTGGCAAGCTTCCAACCATTGACCAGTTCATTTATAAGCAAATTTCATGATCATTTTTCCTAACAGCTACATAGCATTTTATTATTTTATTAAGAAAATATCTCATTATACTTAATAAAACACTTGAACCAGTTCTATTTAATTCAAAAAGAGAGAGATAGCAAATAGCACCAAAAAGTTTTTTTATTTTTTTAAAGTCTAAAAAAAAAAGTCATTGTAAGGGGCAGGAGCCTGTACAGGGGTTAAGGTGTTTGGTTTACAAAAGCCAACCTGGTCCTATCTCCAGCACCACATATGGTCCCCCAAGCCCTGCCAGGAGTGATCCCTGAGCGCAGAGCTAGAAATAAGCCCTCAGAAGAGTTGGGTGTGGCCCCAAACCAAAAATCACCATAGGGATCCAGGGAGAGCTATGTGTTTGAGTGCCTGCTTTGCAGCATGAGGCCAAGGGTCTAACCCTTACACCTGGCACTACCACATATTCTCAAATGTAATCCTGACAGCACAAGAGTATGACATCTCCAGTGCAACGCAAACACACATAACCAAATAGCAGCAACAATTAGGGAAGGGGGAAAATTATATATTAAAGATACAGGTTGGAGCAATAGTACAGTAGGCAGGGCGCTTGCCTTGCACATAGTCAATCTAAGTTCATTCCCTGGCTCCCCATATGTCCCTAAGCCTGCCATGAGTGATCCTTGAGTGCACAATCAGGATCAGCCTTGAGCACCACAGGGTGTGGCCTCAAACCCAAAACAAACAAAAATTTACTATGCACTTACTTTTGTTCAAAAACAATGAATAGGGGTTGAATCGATAGTACAGTGGTAAGACTGCACACAGCCAACCCAAGTTTGATTCTCAGAATCCCACATGGTGCCCTGAGCACCTGTAAGAGTGACTCATCATACGGGGTCAGGAGTAACCTCTGAGCATAATCAGGTGTGTTCCAAAAACAAAACAAAAAAATAAATGAGTGAATTAAGCACTGAGCTGATTAAATGAATAATTTTTTTAAAAAAATCATGGTTTATCATTTTACTGTTGTACTCCCCAAAATGTTTTCTTTCTACTGATCCAAAGGCTAACACATAAACAACTCATCTCAGCTAAATTATAAAAACAAATGGAAAGAAAACAACAACAAAAAACAAGGGGCAGAAGAGTCAGTACCACAGGAATGGCACTTGCTTTGAATGTGGAAGATGCAGGTTCAATCTTAAGCACTCCATTTGGTTCCCCAAGCACCACCAGGAGTGATCTCTGAGCACAGTCAGAAACAAGCACTCTGCCCACGCAAAAAAAAAAATCAAAGCGGGGCGGGGAGAACAGGTGAGGGGGGGGAAAAATTCAATGAGTTTTTTTTTTTCTAATTTTTTTTATACAGTTAATAAGCATACCTAACATGGATATAGTACAAAATTCAAACAACATAAATTTGCAATGTTTAGACATTTCTTTCCAGAGATATTTTAGAAATTTTCCAGGAATAGTCTATTTTAACTTTACATTTAAATACTTATTGAATAATAACAATTATTGGATAATGACTGTTGAATATGATGGAGACATATACTTTTAAAAACAGATTGTGGGGGGTCGAAGCGCCAGTACAGCGGGGAGGGCATTTGCCTTGCAAGCAGCTGATCCGGGTTCGATTCCCAGTATCACATATGGTCCCCTGAGCACTGCCAGGAGTAATTCCTGAGTGCAGAGCCAGGAGTAGCCCCTAAGCATTGCCAGGTGTGATCCAAAAGCCAAAAACAAAACGAAACAAAATAATAGATTGTGGACGCAGAATGTGATTTTAGTGGAGAATGCATGAGTCACATATCTGAGGTCCCTTGGTTCAATCACTGACACCACAAAAACAACACTTAAGGATGATACAGTCATGTATCATCCTTAAGATATAAGAAATATTTCTAATTTTTTGAGAATTGTCCATACTGTTTTCCAAAAGGGCTGAACCAGTTGGCATTCCCACCAGCAGTGAAGGAGTGTCCCTTTCTCACCACATCTGCTCCCATTTGACCCAGCAATACCACTCCTGGGAATATATCCCAGAGGCAAAAAAAGTATAGTCGAACTGACATCTGCACTTATTTGTTCATTGCAGCACTCTTTACAATAGCCAGGATCTGGAAAAAACCTGAGTGCCCAAGAACAGATGACTGGTTAAAGAAACTTTGGTACATTTACACAATGGAGTACTATGAGCTGTTAGAAAAGAGGAAGTCATAAAATTTACATACAGGTGGTACTACATGGAAAGTATCATGTTAAGCGAAATGACTCGGAAAGAGAGGGATAGGATGGAATGCCCTGCCACAGAGGCAGGATGGGATGGGGGTGATGGGGGGTGGGAGGGATACTGGGATAATTGGTGGTGGGAAATGGGCACTGGTGGAGGAATGGGTATTTGATCATTGTAAAATTGAAACCCAAGCACAAAAATTTGTAAGTCTACAACTGTACCTCATGGTGTCTCACTAATAAAAATTAAAAAAAAAAGATATAAGAATTAGGGGCTGGAGCAATAGCACAGCAGGTAGTGCATTTGCCTTGCATGGGGCCGAACCAAGTTCGATTCCCAGCATCCCATATGGTCCCCCGAGCACTGCCAGGGGTAATTCCTGAGTGCAGAGCCAGGACTAACCCCTATGCATCGCTGTGTGTGACCCAAAAAGCAACTGTCACTGTCCTGTCCTCCCGTTGTTCATCGATGTGCTCGAGCGGGTCTAGTAACATTGTGAGACTTGTTACTGTGTTTGGCATATCGAATATATCATGGGTAGCTTGCCAGGCTTTGCTGTGCGGGCAAGATACTCTCGGTAGCTTGCCGGGCTCTCCAGGAGGGGCGGAGGAATCGAACTTGGGTTGGCCGCGTGCAAGCCAAATGCCCTACCTGCTGTGCAATCACTCCAGCCCTCCCAAAAAGCAAAAGAAAAAAAATTTAAAAAATATATAAGAAATGGGACATTTTAAAGATTATTTTAAAAATAGACATAACAATTTAAAATAATCCCAATGGATTTCACAGTCAAAAATCAGTTTATTCCAGGAGCAGAGAGAGCCAACAGGCTGTGATAAGCACAGATTTTGCATGTGGGATACCCTAGTTTTATTTCTGACACTGCACAGTACGCTAAGCACCTGCCAAGAATGACCCCCAAACACAGAGCTGGGAGTAATTGTGAAGCACTGTGGTCAAAATCAAAAATCAAAACATAATAAGGCAGCTGACTACAACCATCAGACTTTCTTTTGACCCCCTAATCAGAGCTATTTAAAAGAGTTTCTATTTTGGAAATTAACTTCTTTAGTTATGTACCCTTAAGAGATTTATTCCAAGAACTTACAGAAGAAAAGTCAAGCAAGTAAACTACTGGATTATATGAATTATATAATAATTTATTCTTTTATCCTAAATAACTCCAAAAATCCCATATTTATACTATGTATCTGAAGAGGGGATTTAACAAAAAAAAAAAAAGAGAATGTTTAGGACAAACACTATGTAGACCATCCTTTAAAAATTTTATCATATTCTTCAGGATATTTGATGAAAAGGAGCGTAAATTTAACTTAATAGCTCTTTCTCCTCTTCACAACCAAGAATCCAAGTGTTGAGAGTAAAGTGAATCAAAGAAATATATGAAAGGGGTCAGGAGATGCTCAAGGTGCATGAGGATACTCTTGAGCTGGTTTGATTCCAGGCTCATCTGGTCCTTGAGAACAGCCAGATGCAGCCACAAAGCTCCCCAGCACTACTGTGGTGGTCAGGTATCCCAGGCACTGCAAGGCCCCCAAGCAGCATCAAAACTGTAGGCCCTTGTGATGAATTGGAGGCCCAGTTGTCCAAGGATTGCTAGTAGGGCCCCCATTCTTCAAAAGAAGAAATGCATGTGATTTTTCTTTAAAAGAGAAGGGGAAAGTCCCGTTTCTGAAGCTTTATTCCAGATTATTTCCTTTTCCTAATATTGAGAAAGCCAGGTCAATAAACTGTTAATACTACTAATACTTATATTATTAATATGAATCAAATATGCTGAGTGGTTAATTTACATAAACTATATATTTTACATATATAACCAAGAATTATCACATGAATAAACAAATGCCTATTAATGTAAACCTAAAATTAGAACCGTTTTCCTATACTATAATATACCCAAAGTAAATAGAATACCTTCTGAAAAGAATCTTCATCTGTTATATCATAGACTAAAATAGCTCCATTTGAGTCTCTGTAGTAAATTGGACCCAATGCATGAAATCTCTCCTGACCTGCAGTATCCTAAAAAAAACAAAAGGTTATTGGATCAGAAGGGGAAAAAAAAAACATCTGCGATTGCAACTACCATGAATTTCTTATTAATTGTAACGTAGGGACATGAAGATGACTAACTCCAAACATCATTAAATGAAACAAAATAGGCTACAAAAAAAAATGTTCAAATTACAACCAGTATTTAATGCTTTGCTGTTAATGTTACTTCTCCCCTTCTAGTTCACCTCAGCAATATTCCCAACCCAAAGAAACAATAGTTCAGTTGCCAGAGGGTCAGAATGGCCAAGATAGCACTCCAACCCAATAATAGGCACTGACTTAAAATCAGACTGCTTGCTGAGGGAGGAGACAAAAGAGCACAAAGTATGATCACCCAGTCTCTGGTACCAATGCATTATCTAGCCCCTACTTTCCACTAGCCACTTCCAGGAGACTGGACCACACAGAGAGACATGTAGAAAAACATGTACACTGTCCACCACCCCAGTCTTTCTCTGATGTGGAATCTTTCTGGATCAAAAAGTTACAATAACAATGTTCAGTATAAGTTATATTCAGGATATAATTCTTGGCCGATTTTAGATTTCAATAATTTTTTAAAAATGTGTTGAGTACCACAGACAGGTCTGAGCAAATGATTTGCGTGCAGAAGGTCCGGGTTTGATCCCCATCACCAGAGTCTCAGAGTCACTCTAAGGAGTGACCTCAAACAGAACCCAGGAGGGGCTGGCGCAACAGCACAGCAAGTAGGGTGTTTGCCTTGCACACGGCTGACCTGGGTTTGATTCCCAGCATCCCATATGGTCCCCTGAGCACCGCCAGGAGTAATTCCTGAGTGCATGAGCCAGGAGTAACCCCTGTGCATTGCTGGGTGTGACCCGAAAAGCAAAAACAAATAAATAAATAAAAATACAGAATCCAGGAGAAGTAGACCCTAAGTGGGTAACAAGCAGTGTTGAGGCAGAAGATGTAGCTCAGTAAAAGAGTATTTGCCCAGTATGTCTGAGGCCCAGAGGTTTGGTCCCAAGCTCACTTGGTCACAAAAATATATGTCTATGTATATATGGAACAAATTCCAGCTAACTTTAAAAAAAACCTAGAAATTCACATTTATATTCCTTGAACCAATTCAAGTACCAGGAATAGGGAGATGTCTTCACATATATGATTAACTTACCCATATAGCAAGGTTTACTCTTTTCCCACCAATATTTAACTTCTTTGTTAAGAATGATGCCTAAGAAAAGAGAAAGATACATTAAACAATATTTTATTTCATAGGGGAAAAAATATTTATTCTAAACTACAAATACCTGGGAAGAAAAGTAATTAATTTTTTATTAATGACCAGATATTAACTGAAGTCAGAAATTATTTTATGTTCTATGAAAAAATATTTTGTAAGGAACATATTACAGAACTTCATATAAAATGACAATTATCTTAGATTGTTTTCCTTAGTGCATGAAATTTGATATATCTTGTGTGGGTATTGTAGAGTTTACAATTTCTAGATATAAAAAAAGTTTATATTTAACCACATGAATTCCAATATTATTTAAAATGTCCTTTTTTGGGGGAGTCACACCCAGCGATGCAGAGGTTACTCCTGGCTCTGCACTCAGGAATCACCCCTGGCAGTGTTCAGGGGACCAAATGGGATGTTGGGAATCGAACCCGGGTTGGCTGCGTGCAAGGCAAACGCCCTACCTGCTGTGCTATTGCTCCAGCCCCATTAAAATGTCCTATATTTTAAATTTTATAATTGCTTAACACTAATTGTCCTAGGTACTGTCACAGAAATAAAAAAGAACCAGCTTTCAAGGAGTAACTGTCTACTGCAGAAACAAAAATGAGAAAAGAATTATACTACCATATAGTAATAGTTATAGAGGAGAGTCCTAATAAGTACACTAAAAGAAAAGAGCTGAGAATGATGGTGTAAAGCTTCCTGGATGTGAGAGAGAGGGTGATGAGTTCCTCTTTCAGAGTATTAGGGGTCTTTTCTAAGAAGGAGGTGAAACCACTGACACTGAAAGAAAATAACCCTCACTCTCAGGGGAAGTCCAAGTTGATCTGGTTCAATGCCAGAAATAAGACTACAGAGATAAACAAAGGTTAAATGAATCAAAAAGATCCTAGAATTCCCCAACCCAGAAGCATGGACTTTACCTTAGAGGTCTTAATAAAACCAAGTTCAAGATCTTAGACATGTATTTTTCAAATGTAAACTATAATCATGATATCTGTGATTTCATGTGAATTTCCCTTCTATAGTTTCAGTCACGTGTGGTCAACCAAGGTGTGGAATATGATATAAAATATTTCAGAGACCAGGAAAATAGTAAAGGAGATTAGGTATAAGGCTTTGCATGCAGCCAACCTAGGTTCTAATTCCCTGCATTTGGTTCCCCAAGCACTTTCAGGGATCACTCCAAGACACAGAACCAAGAATAGATAGCTCCTGAGCACAGCTGGCTGTACCCAAGAACAAAAATGTTTTTGAGCGTAAGAGATACCACATGAACAAAAATTTTATTACAGTAAATTGTATATAACAGTAAGTTGTTGTATTCTATCCTTTGTTTAGAATTAGCAAACAACAGAAACACTGCAGTTGTGAGAATCCCAGTCGCACAATAGAGTGTGTGATCTGTGGCACACTGCACTCAGGTATGTGACAGCACTGCAACTAAATGTTTAGTTTCTATCGTTTAGTTTTAAATTGATAAGAAGGGGGGAAAATCCTGGCCAACAATGAATGATGTATTAGAGGACCTGCCTTTTTAAAAAAATTTTTGGTTGGAGTGAAGGGTGTTTTTAAGCCATACCCAAAATAGCTGGGGGCTATTCACCAGTCTGTGCTCACAGCGCTCAGGGAGTAACTTGAGGAACCATGCAGTACTGGGAACCAATCCTGGGCCTCCCACATGCAAGGTTAAGTTCTCAACCCACCAAGCTATCACTATAATGCCAGCACTTGCTCTATTTATACACTGTTTCACTTAGGGTTGTGATTTTAAGAAACTAGCAATATTTTGATTGGAATTACAGTATGGAGGGTTTAGTGCTACCTGCAGTTTCAGATCCATTAAAGGGACTTAAAATTATTCTCTCTCACTAAACAGAGAACTACTATAAATGCAACAAATGCTTCATTTTGCTATGTAAACTGTGCCCACAATCACAATAGTATACTAAGAACCTGTGGGGCTGGAGCAATAGCACAGTGGTAGGGAATTTGCCTTGCGCGCAAGCCAGTCCGGCGGAGCCGGGTTCGATTCCTCCACCCCTCTCGGAGAGTTCGGCAAGCTACCAGAGAGTATCTCGCCCGCACGGCATAGCCTGGCAAGCTACCCGTGACATATTTAATATGCCAAACACAGTAACAAGTCTCAAAAAGTGGAGATGTTACTGGGCCCGCTCAAGCAAATCGATGAACAACGGACAATGTGGGGCAGGAGCAATAGCACAGAGGGCAGGAGATTGCCTTGCACGTGACAACCCAGCACCCCATTGGTTCCCCAACCCATCAGGAGTGATCCCTGAGTAAAAAGCCAGGAGTAAGCCCTGTGTACTGGTGGTGAAAATAATAATAACTGACAAAGGAAGACAGGCTAATTGCATTTATACATGCATTTGACAAGCTCACTTGACCTTCCCCTTTTTTCATACAGAAATACCTAATTTTTAAATACTTTAAAAATAATAGTTGGGGATTGGAGCAATAGCACAGCGGGTAGGGCGTTTGCCTTGCACGAGGCCAACCCAGGTTCGATTCCCAGCATACCATATGGTCCCTTGAGCACTGCCAGGGGTGATTTCTGAGTGCCGAGCCAGGAGTAACCCCTGTGCATCGCCAGGTGTGACCCAAAAAGCAAAAAAAAAAAGTTAAGAAACAGCAAGAGGATGCGGGGCGGGGGGGAGCAGGGAGCAAAATGATTGTACAGTGATTGTACAGCTTGATATTTTTATTAAATAAAATGGATTATACAGAAAGGGGTAAAAAATAATGAAAAATAACAAAAAAGAAAAAAAGAGAAGGGGCTAGCAACACCGCGTACAGTGTTAAGGCACAACTTTCATAGTTGGCCCTGGTTCAGTCACCCAGACTGCATGGTCCCCCAACACCACAGGGAGTACCCGGCACAGAGAGCCAGAAGCAGGCTTGTTGTCTTGAGCTTTGTCTCTTCACTTGCTCCATTTCTTTATATCCACCACATGAGGAAAATCATCTGACATTTGTCTTTTTCCTTCCAACTCATTTTACTTATTGTCGCCTGCTCTCTGGCCTTATACACACTCTTAGCTGCACCCCCCAAAAGACACTAAAGAGCCTTAGTGTCTCATCCATCTCCCAAAATATTTGTTAGTCACAAAACAACATGCGTCAAAAAGAAAGTGTGTGTTTCACATCTTGTTCCTTCAAATCTCAAGTTGTGAGTACCACTACTTCTAATTCCAATTTTGTCATCTCTCAAAATGTCATGGGTATTAATACTCTTATTAGCTCAGAATGACGTCTGACATTTGTACCTGAAGATTTTTTTTACCTGACATCTATCCAAAATCATGATGGGCAATTATCTTTAATCTTATCTAAAGAAAGTAGGAGAAAAAAATAGGGACAGGTTATATCTGCCAAACAAAAGTATTTTCTTTTTACAAAACTTGTGAATAAATGTATGGGTTTTTGTTAGAACATTCTACTCCCTTTGCCTAAACACAGGCAAAGCAAAATATCTAAAGCTACAGACTTATGAGCAAATTTCTCTCTCCTCTCTTCTCCTTCCCCCTCCCTCCATTTAACCTTATTAGGGTTTCTCAGCCCATATGCACAGTAAGGTTTTCCCAGTGAATAACATCCCAGGGTGTGGCCCCAAAAACAACAACAAAAAGACATGAAAGAATTCTGGCAGAATATTGCAAAGCAATAAAAACAAGGAACCAAGAAAACAAACTAGGGGACCTGAGGATGGGGATGGATAATTCAAAGGGCTGAGATCAACTGCTGAAGTCCCAGATCAACCCCTGGCACATGATCTCCCCTGCACCACTGTTAGTGACTCCCTATCCCAGCACTATCCAGGAGCACACCCAACAGCAGCTCAGGTGTAAGTCAAACAAACCCCCCTCCCTTACAAAAGAGGGAAACCAATAACTGTGAGATATAGAACACTTCAAATTTTCTTGGTTTGATTTGTAAAAAGATTATAATCAATTTGGAGTTTAATACTTTAATACAGAAAGTCACTTCTGAAAGGGCTTTGTTTTTCTTTCCTTTGGGGGGCCACACCTGGAAGTGCTCAGCTCAATGTTCATCCAGGCCTCCCAAAGAATTCTCCCCAGTCCTAAAAAGACTTTTTTTTTTTTTTGCTTTTTGGGTTACATCCGGTGATGCACAGGGGTTACTCCTAGCTTGGCTCTGCACTCAGTAATTACTTCTGGTGGTGCTCGGGGAACCATATAGGATGCTGGGAATGGAGCCCGGGTCGGCCACGTGCAAAGTAAAGGCCCTACCTGGTGTACTATCGCTCCAGCCCCCAAAAGAATTTTTAAAAGCACAAAATGTGAAGTGGAAGTAGGATATGGAATGCTGATACATAAAAAACTTAAAGCCAGAGTTTCAAAAGAGTTTTATTAAAAAAAAAACACACACACACTGGTTTGGGGGCAATAGTACAGTGGGTAAGGTGATCGACAAGTGACTGACAAGTGCAAATGACCAACCCAGGTTCCATCTGGAGGTAGTCATTCAATCCCAGTTCCACCAAAAGTGCAAAGCCAGGAATATAAGCCTGAGCACAGGTCAGGTGTGGCCCAAAAACAAGAACAACAAAAATAAAAATTTGTACTCTGTACAAAGAGAGTACAGAAGCCACTTAACAGAGGTTAAGGTGCTTCCCTTGCATGTGCATGACCTCATCATTACAGGGGCCCTTAAGCAAGGCTGGAAACACCCCTGAGCAGAGCCAGAAGTGAGCACTCCAGGCATTCAGGATCCAGGTTTGTGTCCTTCTCCCCCTCAAACACCCAAGTCCAAAGAGAAGGTTCTATAGGCAGAGCACACACCTTGCATATGGGAGGCCAAGATTTGATCCCCAACACTGCATGATGCCCTGGATCCACCGGCATGACCCCTAAGCACAGAGCTGGGAGTAGTCCCATGAGTAGCAGCAGAGAGCCTGCAGCATAATTGGGTGTAAACCCCCTCCCACACTAAAAAAAAAAAAAGAC